TTAACCCTTTGTACATTCTACAATCAACTTCAGAACAGAATATCAATTCAATATTTTACTTTATTAATACTACTAAGCTTATTATCTAATATCCATTTTTTTAAATTAGAGCCGATGGCCTGTGTTGCTAGTGCTCAATGTCTCTTTTTTTAGTCTAAGAATTCAATTCATTAGTCTAAAATTAAAATAATAATAATAATAATGCCATAAACCTACAAATATTGTTCTTACATTCCACCAAAATATATAGAACTTCATACAAAAAAATATAAAGGCTTCTTAAACTATCATAATTAATTTCTTGAAACGGACCACTAGACAGGCAAAAGCCCTGCTTCAGATATCTCGTTACATCATTATACGAAGAACTGGTTAATAATAAGATTATCAACAAGAAAATTAATTATGCCAAATTTAAACCAAGGGAACAAACGTTCTTTAAAAAATTTCTCATGAAAAGATTGGAACATGGGATCAAGGTGTAATTTTGACATTTCATGATGATGTTTGATAATAGATATATATTTTTTAACGAAAAACTTGATTATACTAAATTTTGACTCGGTTTATTCACATTACCGATTAGATGTGAGATTTTTTTTTAAATGAATTTTTTTGTTAATACATCTAAAACATCTAATTTTTGTTCGACACTAAGTTTCCATTGAAGAAGACGTAGTTAAAGAGGGAGAACACTGTAATAGCTTAAAAAAAAATCGTTTTGAAAATTAGTTTTAGGTGGAGAGAAAAGTAGCAAAACAATAGTATTTGAGATGATGATTAAGCATACCTTTAAGCATTTAAAAAAAAATTATTTTTTGTTATATTAAACAAGTAAAAAAGGTTCGGTCGGGACCGAATTTTTTATACCCATCACCCTTTTGCCCAAAAAAAGGCAAAAGAAGTAAAAGAACATAATTCTCATGCTCTATAAATATGAAGCGCCGACAGTTGATTTCTTCAATTTTCAAAATAAAAGTTTTTATCGTAGAGACATGTGGTCGTTGTAGACGTGTCCTTTGAAAAGTTTAGTCAAGTTCAAATTCTTTTACAAATTTTTAGGCGATATCTTCATTTACGCTAACGGGAGAATGTTTGCTACATGCACTACAAAGTTACGCAAACAGATATACGAACAGGCGGACGTGTTTAGGTGCACTCAAGGGGTGTAAGTGCCTAAGAATTTATGTACTTTGTGGGGTTTTTGAAGCTTGTTTCTGCATTTTATAAAGGTATAAAAAAAAAATTCAATTTTGATACAATATAACATTGGTTAGGTGAGGCCAATTTTTTCCATTTTTATGCACAGATGCTACAGCATCGCCCATAGAATATGCGTTCAAATTTTTTTACAGTTATTTGCTATAGTTTATGATTAATAAGCAATAAATTCATTTTCGATTCCCTTTGAAAACCAGTTTGCGTCATGCTATGAGCACGATTGGTCCATTTTGTATACCAAGCTGTGTGCAAGAACTTCCACTGTCTCTGCCAAATTTGAAGCCGAGAGCTTCATTTTTGTGGCCAGAAGAATGTTCACAACACACACTACATATATGGTCAGAGGGACATGATTAAATCGATTTAGAATTTGATGCTGATCAAGAATATATATAGTTCGTGGGATCTCTGATGCTTCCTTCTAGGCGTTACAAACGTTTTGACAAAATGAATATACCCCTCATGCTCTGGTAATGAGTATAAAAATGTCAGACGTTCTCTTGAAACTTTACGCAAGCAGCGTAACTGCTTTAATCTATACTCCTATATCCAGCAAACACAGAGGTTTTTGAAAATATTGATTTTCGTGTAACTAGCGAGGGTTTGTGTCAAAAAGTGAAATTTTCGACCGAAAAGGAGTTATTGTTCTATTAATAGAAAATGTTTCAATTAATTCGAATGAAAGGAATTAAGGAACTCGAATGAAAAATATTCAAGTTGTTGCAACACGTTTAAAGTTTTGACATGTGCTGTACACATGTTTTTTCATAACAACAAATTTCTCATAATTTTCTATTAGTCTGCGATTTGAGGGCCACAGGGTGTCCACTCAACAGTTATCTCCGTGAAGCTGCACTAAAGCATTTTTGAGTGGAAATGAACTTAAATACATTCCGAAGATATCTGTTAGCGTTTTAGAGAAGCTAGAAATCAACAGGTAAAACGTTAAGTTGAAACTTCCAAGAACGACTTCAAGGACAAAATTTCGCGGGTCATCAATTTTTTTGCACATATTCTAGAAGGTCCAAAACATCCATTGAGCAAAAAAATCGTTTTTTTGAAAAACGTAGCGGTATGCCCCTTTAAGTCCGCCTTGCTCGACTATCATGGCTTAATCTGTTCTTCCTTTGATCTACACTGAGCTTAGTCCCGCTTAATATAACCTTACCTTTGTACTGTGCTCCTTCATTGTGAATTTAGTTTTACTTCAACGTACACTCATTTCTTACATTTTTTTAGTTGCAATGTTAAAATAAATGAAGTAAATAAATATAGCGGTAATAGAGTTTCTTCTGTTTACCAGTTAGAATGGTATAATTGAGCAAGGATGACCATTAGATGTTGTACACCACTTCGCCCAATACGGACATTCATTCTTTTTCTTAATTATACATCAAACATTATATGTTATTTTTATGCATATGCATACTTGTCATGAAAGACCTCATATTGGAGGATACTCAAAACATCAATTCATTTGGTCCAAGTTTAGCAAACTCAAAGATTTTATTTTCCAGTTGCTTCCGTCATAACACACCATGTATTAGACTTTATCGCCATAGAAAAGCTTGCTTTAACGAGAGCCACTGTATATGGTGCGCACCTATGTGATCTAAATTCCCTATGGTGAGGTAACGAAGGTTCAATTTGGATCATAAAATATTATAAATGAAAACCTTTTGGCATATAACAGCTTCTTTTAATTTGAATCCTTATAAAGGCTGGGATCCAAAAAAATTGGATCGTACGTCTACCCACTAGTCCAAAGACTAACTTTTATGTCAATTTATTGTTATGAGCGGATTTGCTCCAAGAAGTATTGAAAATTAAATCTCTTTCCCATACCGAGATTCAATTTCCGTAAGAACAGTTATATGGCAAGGAGTTCAAAAAATTTAGAAAACCGAAATTAAGCAACTTTTTGCGGGAATTTTTAAGTATTACAAGAGGGAGAGATTGAAAAAGTGGTCCGATCCCAACCAGTTTCAACAGAGTTCGCCCTTAGGCCAAAACATGTTAGCATATAAAATTTCATCAAAATGTCTCGAATATTGGGCAGACATTACACGGACAGAGAAACTTACGTCATACGAGCAAGACAATAATATTGGACCGATCGTCGTATCTATCTCGAATACTTCTAGGTGTTATGTACGTTCAAACAAACTTAATCCACCGAGTATCACAAGTGGTGTAGGGTATTTTTTCCTACAATCATTTAAATTAAGAGGCATGTCGTTTAAATGACATAATGGTTTGGGATCTTTCTCGAGGTAAAGATTTGTGACAAAGGAAAGATTACAAAATACAGAGCAAACAGATTCTAACCAAAATAGCTTCTTCGAGAAACTACAGAAAACACGATTAGGATTTAACAAATAAAGTGGAGGTCTACATAAACCTACTTTAACATAGTTAAATTTCGAAAAACTCTGTCGAAGAACTTGCTAAGATAGAAAGATTTATAGCTAACATTAATTTGAACGTTTTCAAAATTTACTCTCTGAATTACTATAAAATAAATAGTTTTAGTAGAGAACGTTTTTCATTTTCTACATAATTTCTTATTCAGATCAGTTAAAAAATGTTGCAAAAATTTTTAGAATACACCGAATACTAGAGTCTGCATTATTTTGAAAACCCGGCAGTAAGCAACAACAGCGGGCTAAAATGAAGCAAGCTTAACGTGCACCAGATAAAAAAAGAGGACAAATGGAGACACACGCTACTGAACACTGAATTTCTTATGAAATAATAACTTCACCTAGTTATAACTCTTATTTACATCGATGAGGTCGTTCGCTTTATGTGTAAACCTAAACAATAGGAGTACACACCAATTCTAGGCATCTAAGACGTTTCCGCATCCAGAGCGGAAGGATATGAAACATAGGACGAACGGAATGTATATCGCAGATTGAAGCACCTATGCCTTTGTCAATTGTTACAACTGTAGAACGCTGCTTGTGCAGATTTAATGATTGTTTAACAATAATTTTCTAATGTGACGTCTTGAAGATATATTGTGTTTTAAAAACTAAGTTTTATTTTCTCGCAAATTGTATTCCCGCTTCTCTCCCTTAGTACTATATGTAATTGTGTAAATTTTCAACTGTGTATTTTGTATAAGTGGTCACAAAAAATACGGCATTTTTAATACGTTTGTTTTATTTTGTAGTGTTGTTTTTATATATATATATACATACACATGTAAACATACGTATATATACGTATATATATATATATATATATATATATATATATTTCCTTTTTAATACTATTTTACTAGAACATGTTTTCTGCTCATACTATTCTTCTTTTTCTAATTTTTAACATTTATTTAAATGACAAAAAACTAGAATTTCATATTAACACAGTTAGAGCTATATAAATCTTTGATTTACTGACAAGCGAGTATGAAATTGAATTCATATTCAACTGAATGCCAATTAGTGTTTAATAACAAATGAGTCTTGAACAAATTTCTAACTTTCCATAGTCTAGCGCAGTAGTGCTGTAAATAAGGTTGTTTTGTCTTTCGAGTTAATAGTTGGAAAGATCCAATTAATCATAATTTACTACAATTTCTTTGGTTTTTTATTATCATAATTAAATTTTTTTCCTGTTTTCGTAATTTTTGTTTAACATCAATAATACGTGTATCAATTATAGTGATGGCTTTCTTTAATAATTATTCTAAATTAACTTGTAAAATTTAATTTACAATTAATAATATATGTAAATTATATTTATATACGAAATTCTAAAACAAACATGTAATTTTTAATTTTTCTATTGCTATTCTAGAAAACTGGAAATTACAAAAATATTAATAATTTATATAATCATAATTTATGCTTTAACATTTATAAGTTAATTGCGTTGCAATGGTTATAGATCAGTGAAATTTAAAATAGTTAAAATTTGTAAGAAGAAGATAATGAATAATTTATTGTATACTAAATATCACTACAATACATTTAAACATTCTAGTTTTTTGTTTCGTTTTACTTTAATGTTATTTTTTGCGTTTGTATTATAATATATATCTTTGTTGTTTACACCTCTTATTAACTAAAATTTGTATATACATATACACTTACATATGCATATGAAATTTTTTAAGTTACATTTGCTAAGACCTTCATTAAATATGTACAACATTATGCACATATGCACGCACAAATGAAAACGGTTAAGATCAGCATTAAAAAAAAAAAAACAGAAATAAATCAAGCAAATAAAAGGTTACATTCAATTTAGCACGAAATATTGATAGTAAAAGATCTTTAACTCTTGGACGCCTCGTATAGATATTTAAACTTTATACGGACGTCTGCTTGTAGCTTATTAATAAAAACATTCCGTAGTCTAAAAAATACCAGGTGTTTTATTTTACCACAAATGCTAAAGGAGATAGGTATATAAAGAATGAATTATTTAAAAGTGTACAGTAATTATTCCGTCTTGAGCGTTTCAATTAATATGTTGAAATTTACGCTTTTTTCTTTTTTAGGCTTTTTCAAGTATTATTACTACTCTGTTAGATGTGCGCCTTAATTTCCATGGGTTATCGAATTTTTTTAAATTAAAAACTTTAATTTTCCAAATCTCATTTCCTGATATTACAATCGGAATGTCAAAGTTGCATCATGTCTACACATCAATAATGAGTATGGAAAGAATTAACTACTATAGCTTAATAAAAAACATTCCCCCCGAATTTTATTGAAAAGCAAAGACTAGTTCTAGTCTCAGTAAATTTTCCAGAGGATGAAATAAAATTTGATTTTATTCGATTTGATTTAGCAATATTTACTTTCGTCTTGAAACAATCTTGGATGCTCACTACTGGCAACCTTATCTCATTTGAAATACAAAAATCGTCGCTTTTCTTAATAGTAGCCTGCTAAGGGATAAAGGAAAACCGTTTGAAATTTTCTAATATTATCATATTTTCCCCTTTATGCATTATGATAAATGATATTATTTCTGTTTATTTAATATTTTTTAAGACATGAAACTTGATCATAACGTAGGTGTCTAGTCCATTTCGAGATTTGCAATAACATTTTATCTTTCATTAAAGTCTATTGCGCAGATCATTTTCTTAAATGCATTTTATTTACGAAGCCTCTGAAATAAACATAAACGTTTAGCCATTTTAAACTTTGAAATAATCAATCGAGAAACATACGAAAATCGCGTTGAAAATAGCTTATTAAAATCTGGATTGTGTATTTAACGATCTTTATAGTATAAAGTGAAGTACTCATTACAATTCTTTTCCTTATACCGTAATAGTGAGTACTACAAATTGAATTTGTAATCGTTCTCTTAATTAGTTAAACTCGTAAATCCAACAATTTTTTTAATTACATATTTATCACATTAAACTTTTATATACGCCCAAGTATCCACGTGAAATAGACGAATAGTCCCACATAAGGCAATTGCCGCGCCGAATTCAAGCTGATAACGTTATCTTCTTACTACTACTGCTGCTACTTACTTTCACACCGATGCATCGTCGATGGCTTGTATCTATCAACATGTATCACCAGTGGTCTGGCTGAAGCACAGACCAATTCCGCCTGTAAAAATAAGGACAAAAAGAAGCGCTCGTGCAAAGCTCGTAATTAGTTAAGAATTACTTCTTTTGTTTTGATATGGAGAAGCAAACAAACCAAACTACATTCTGATAAATAATTGCATTACAAAAATTCGTTAAAAAATTATTTGGAATATGAAGTTCTTTCTTATATATGAAAATTGATAAGCGTAAATAAAAGTAATGCATAAACTGCACAAATTTGCGTAGTCATCAAAAATGTACAGTAAAAGTTTGTTGTCAGTATTGTTCTCTAAACAACGCACCCATCAACCACTTTCTGGAGTTAAATTATGCTTAAAAGCACCATTAGCGCTTTGATTTCAACGCAGAAGATAAATTAAACTTATCAAATGACTGTGATGCTTAAAAATCTCATAGAGTATTTATATATGCATATGTCGATGCGTAATCGTTTTTATTTATATTTGGTGGCCATCTGTTGGCTTCGCTACTACTCCGTCCAAAATTTTTTCTAGAAGAAAAACTATGGCCTAATAATTTTATCATTTATTTTCGTTGACACCGATGTCCGTTATGCGCCTTTTCTAAACTACTTTTTTTGATTTTTAACTTAAGACTAATTTCGTTATTAAAATACCTCTGTCAAGTTCGAAAGCCATGTAAATTGCCCCGAATTTCGCCTACAATTAACAAAAAACCAGACTGAGACGAGGCTTCTTTAAATTTTTTTAATTTACAAGTACATATAAGTCGTGCCAATTGTATAAAAATTAGAATTTCAAATATCCTACGTTCGTCTATTGTATATTAATGGATCTTAGCTTTATCGAATATGTTTATATATATAAATATATATATAAACTTTATGAATACTTATATTTATCATAGTTTATTGCAGACTCGTTTCAAGAAAAATTAGTGGTGGGTGTTAGAAAATTCGGTTAAAACCGAGCACAAATTCTGTTGTTTTTCTTTTTGTTTTGCTGTAAGAAATTAAATTATTTATTTCGTTGTCCGTGAGCTGCTTTTGCTATTCGGACGTTTCCTTTTAACATTATCGGCACTTGACGATTTCCTGAAGTACGTAATCCAATAAATTGAAAATTAATCAGTAATAATAATCAAATGTGTGCAAGGGTGAAAACATCAATTAAATGTTTTAAAAAAAATAAGTAGTAGGATTAATTAACTTCGCTTTTTTATGCTACATCAAAATCTGCCAAACGAATTACTTAAGGATTTTATTTTAATCACACCGATGAAATATTCTAACCTACATGTCTTTAACGTTTATTTAATCTAAAATAATAATGTGTTATTAAGTCTGTACATATTATTGACATTGATCATTTGTTGTCAAATTTTTAAAATCTTTACAGCACTGCCTACTTGTTTGTCGATTCATTGATTTCTAGGTTTACGCAATTATTATGTGTTATTATTTATATTTTTATTATAAGTAGTAGTATCATTGTTTATGTGCTGGTGTTGTTTTATTTTAATATATTGTTACTTGTTGGTACTTGATTATTTTCGGCAGTGATTGATGACGGTGAATCGGACGTTTTTTTCATTTTCTCACAGTAATCATTAAAAATGTCACGAAAACGGGCCCAACACTTCTCAGGGACTGTAATAGAGTTGCGAAAATTACTTTTTACCTTGAAAGAATAAAAAAAATAGTACCAAGAATTAAAAATTTAATTTAGGCCAACTATTGACATTATGGAAATAATTTATGACTCCCTCACATGTTTATAAAAGAGTCTGATGTTGCAACTGTGTCATGCACATCCATGAAAATGCTTGCTAGATCAATAAGCTAGACAAATACCCATGTAAGGCAAACAAAGGGTCACAACATGAACTTAAGTTTTTTTTACGCAGTTTTCAGTTCCAAGTGAACGTTTTTCACGTTAATGAAAACTGCGTATAACATTCTGGAAAAACATCGAAAATAAAAGCGGGTGAAAATATTAGAAATGTGTGTATATACTTAATGAAGGGTAATAAGAAATAAGAGAATATATTGAACTTGGACCGAATGTTCTATAGCCACCATCAGTTTTCATTGAAACGAGAAATATCTAATAACAAATTTATTACATAATACTGTACGCTTATTGTTGACGTACAAAAGGTATGTACACGTATACTATTTGGTAGCAAGAAAAGGCCGAAGTCTCTTCATAAGTGTTATTAATATACGATATTGAATATAATTGCATGCGATTTGACACCGTATCATATGTAAGTGTGCAAATTAAAAAACAAATTATTTTAGTTATTAGATAATAATGGATAAAATGTGTACTCTGAGTGAAATCCATAGGTCGTTTCTAGAAACCTTTTGTTTACCTGGAACGGGCCTAAGGACTGATTTCTAAACATGATCCGAAGACTTTGAAGAAGAGAAATTTGAAACCAAAATTGATCTTTTAAAGTTAGTTTTTAAGTGAATCGTACAGGCCGCGGAGACCTAGGTTCCTTGTATGTATAACTCGTATTTACAACCGTCACAAACATTTTAAAATTCTGAAAGACATTTCTAATATAAAATGAAAGTTGTAATGAGGAAAACCCAGATATTTTGTTATTGTTAAAATTGCAAAACATTTGGGCCACTAAAGTTATTCATGTGAAAGTTGCAAAGTTGTTTTGAGAATCAAAAAATCTCCCTATTTTGAAAACTTATAGGTTCATAAACGTTTAGATTTTTATTTTGTGAAAGGTGACAATGAAGGTGTGCAAATCGTGGCCAAGCTCAGATTAATGTCATCTAAAGTTCTTGTGTTCGATAGTATTTGCTAGAATTGGAGGGGATTTTTGTGTCATGAACTGCTGCTACTTCACTCGGCTCATTCTGCTCTCAATTTTCTACAACTGTGCTTGAAGTTTTCAATTGAAGAATTAACTCTAGAATTAAGAGAGAAGGCGTCGTCGTCGATGACTTCCGTAATACTATCTTGCCTGGGAAGTTTCGAGACACTCTCTGTAAAGACCGGATCTTCGCCCATCCAACTATCATCAAAAAACTAGTAAAAGGTTATCTACCACACTTAACAAAGTCCTTCAAAAGTTCGTTTTAGATGAAAAAAGTAGTATGAAGCCTTTTCTTGATCTACTAGAAGATTTTACTTGCTAATTTTTTTTCAAAACAAGCCGAACATTCTCCTCTTATATTCCCGCCCCTTAGGGTTAAAGATTACATTTACTGTGCGCGGATATATGCAACACCAAGGACTATTTGAAATAAACACGTCTTCTTTGTAATCGGATATTATTTTTATTCAAGTAGTTTAAGGTTACCTATCCACCCGTGATCTGTCCAGGCATTGTCGTGTTCACTCTACCAATTGCGATTTACGATATTTTTTGATGAAATTTGGTACATGTCTGTTTTTAATCCAAGAATAAACACTACAGATTGAATCCGACAATTTTTCAATATACTCGTCATACAATGAAGTACTATGAAGTGGTTATAGAGAGATAACTTTTTTTTTTAAACCCGCTTCCACATAAACGTTTTTATAAACTTTTATATGAGAACAAGATTCACTTCGTAGTAGTTTCATTGCTTATCATAAATTCATGGGATTGAATTAGTTTACAGTTTGGATCGCTCCCCATATGAGTTCTTATAGAAAGTAAGTCTTTATGCGCCAACATGGTTTAGTTTTGCCGTTTTGTGAGGCATAGGATATTTAATGACGGGCCTCGCCCTAATATACAAGTAATATACAAGTAACTCCAAGACGAGTGGGTGAGAACGCTGAGAAAGACGCGTAGTTCCGTTGAAGGATTTAATTGGTGGACATATCCCGCTTGTCTTTGTACAACACTTCCCCTGGACGTACGTATTTATAAGCGCAAGACAACCCACACTACGAAAATGCCCAAGGGTATCGATAGCTCTGGACACACTTCTGTCGCCCACGAACACTTAAGTCTTTCGCTGTATGCGGTCGAATGCCTTCAAGCCAATTATGCTTAAATTTTGGCTGTAAATGGTGCGGACATTGGCTATAGCAAAGTATTCTCCACACTACTTTAAAAAACCTAAGCACTTGACTGCGTGTTTCAACACTTCGAATGTTGTACACAACGAACACTGTTTTTTATTCTCATGCCCCGAAGTCATATTGCATGTCGATAATTAAGTCGTTGGCTTCTCATTCGATGGTAGCTGACCATGGTCTTCATGGTATCAACTATAGCAAAAAGGATTGCAATCGGGCGATAGTTTTCAGGATTTCTGGGATATCCCTCTTTGGGTATGAGCTGCACACTGGAAACTTTCCAACAGAATGGAAAAACGACAGCATGATAGCACTCGCTCATGAATGCGCAATGGCCTGACAAGTGCTTCAGCGTACTTTCTTAGAATTGTGGGTGGAATTCTATCAGGCACTGGAGCGTTGCGAGCGGTGAGATAGGCAAGAACCTTTTTAAACGCCATCGTTCGAAAGAATAGTACAGGCACCGAACATGTCATTCATTGAAGCGGCGGCAGTAGTTGGTTGCTATGTGCATATTAGCCGAGTAGGTAAGAACCACGATCAACAAGTCAATATTCGTGGATCCAATATCAATGCGGTATAGTGTAATTTAGTCGTAGCTATAGTAAATGTTCAGTCGGTAAAGACATAACATTTACCGATTGGGCTGTGGCTGCCTGTTTATATATCTTCCCCTTTCTCCAAATCTTCTTCTGTCTGTCCGTCACAGTGTTACACGGATAGAGGACATCCCCTGAGTGATTCATTGCTGCGAGTAGGCGTGATGCTATCAAATATTTTCACGCTGACGATCAGGCTTCACTAGCTACTGGTGAACAAGTTTAAATAATTCATGCTCGAAAAGAATTTCAAGAGATAACTAGAAGCTGTTTTCATTGTTTTAGTTGGCGACTAAAGCTTGTGAATCAAATCACGCGGGACCTTCCATCGGCAAACAATATTTACTCACTCCACGAGTTGCTATATAAAATACGGACCTTGGCTTCCAACAGTTAACTGGATATGTATTATGAAGTTTTCTTACCATGAAAAATTATGTAGCAGTATTTGTATTCTTCTGTCCGAAAAGACTACATATGGAAGTAGGATCTATTCTGACAGCTAAGCGCTTTATAGCTGTTCACAAACGATTTATTGGTAGACGCAGTCAATGCAGATATATATATTGTGATAAAGCTAATAACTTTGTAGAAGCACGTGGACAGTTCTAGGAGAAAAAAAAAAGTGTTTACGCAACCGTATAAAGAGCAGATGTATAGGTTTTGTATTTGTATTCAGATGGAATTTAAACATATGCCACCGCGATTGCTGCATTTTTGAGGGTTATGGTATATGTTCAACAAAGTATCATCTAAATCCTACGTTAACTAGTTTGAACGTAACTTTTCAAGAAGTGGCTACTATAATCACCGCAATAGAGGCGATTTTGCATTCAATTCCCAGGTATGTCCAATGGTTCCATTGAAGAAAGCATCTTAACGCTAAATTTTTTTTTGTTTGGTATGGCAAAAACTATTGAAGAGAGATAAACATATCCTATTTAGATATAAATAGGGTAACCACCAGGCAGCAACATTTTTAGCAAAAATGGTCCAAAAAACATGTACAAAAACTATAGTGAAGTGGAAAAAAATATAGTAATCTGCAGCAGCGTGTTCTAAACCACTTACAAAATGTTAGAACATTGCAGCAGTAGTAAAGGTCAAAACAAAGAATAGCGAATTTGGATACTTAGAGAGAGATTTTAACAGGAGATTTTGCAAATAGAATGATTTTTCTGGACATCGCTCAAGGTGGAAATTCAGTGGTACTAAACGCCAGGCAATTGTTTTCGCAAGAAAGAGAAATCCGTGTTTTTTTAAACTCAATGGTCACAGATTATTGGTTCTTTGGTCGCTACTTTAGAAAAACAGCTTATTTACAATGACGCATGCATGTATGCACAATCTGTGTCAAACCCGATTTCTTCATGCCGCATCAACAGATCGCAATTTTTGAGATATTTCGATGAAATTAGGTATGGTGACATGTTTTGACCCGAGGACGAACGCTATTGAGAATAGTTTGGATCGGTAAATTTTTCGACCACTCAGCATATAACGCCCTATTTTGAAAAGTCGTTATATGGGAAAAATTGAAATTTTCAAAATTTCTCGACAAAATGACAATTACGCCTTTTCAGGAAAATAATGTGTAATGCTTGGTACATTTTTCTCAAAACGGGTGAATAACTGTGCGAAGTGGTGTAGGATGTCTAATAGTCGGCCTTGCCCGACTATAATGTTCTTACTTGTTTTAAGATAAAGACGGTGGGTATAAAAGAGACGAATATAACTTTATAAGTTTTAACTCTGTATTTTTGTTTTTAATTTTGTTTATTTCAATTTAACTGTTTATATTGCATTTTGAAATTTATAGCATTTATGTTTTTTTTGAACATATCATAGCAATTTCGATGCATTAAATGTCTATAGGAATACGAAAACATCAAATATACGAGACTGAATATAAAATAAACGTTTCTTTTTTTTAAACAAGAAATATTTAACTATTATGCACTTTGTCTTGCTTTCCCTCTATTAATGCGTTATTCGGGATTCTATTATACTGTGACTGCTATCCCTGTGCAACTGCCACCTATCTTGGTGGAACGTTTACCATTGGAGCTTGAAAATAAAGGTGATCAGACGGATCCAGTTTGAAGGTGAGTTTATTTTTATATGAATTACAAAAGATACATTAGGCGTTCCATTGTCCAAACTCGATACAGTCTTCATGCCGTTTAGGAATCAGTGAACATAATTTAAAATCGTGCTCAATATAAATGGCGAGACACATAATGGTGAATTTTAATTAGTTGTGAACTGCAGGAATATTCATTTTGTCGATCTGGTCATCAATTTTATTGGGTGAAACAGTTTGAGTAAACAATCTCTTCAATTTGGTCAATTCTGGCGTGTGTTTTCCTTATCTTTACCGAATACGCCGAATATTTATGTTTTGCATTTTACGTTGAGATTAGTTTAATGTTAACAGGGGTACAATTTCCGCAAGATATAAATCTAAAGAGAATTCTACTTCGTTTGATTATACAATTGTATAAAATATTAAGCAATAACACAATATCATCCTTCTTCTTAGCTTTACCTTTAGAGAGACTTATTTGTATTTATAAAGAGAAAGGCGAGCCTGTGAAGGACACAGTGCTGACACTTAAACACATTTAGCAGGATGTGTGTAGCGAATAGTTGATTCAAAAAGTTGAACAATCATAAGAAAGTTATCCAATATTTCTACAATTTATATTAAATACAAAAATAGATTGGCTGAGATCATTGCTGAAAATGTTGCCAACAACAATCATTTCAACTACGTTACCGTGCTGTTTATCATATTTTCAAAACAATAGATTTAAGTACTTGCCTCTATATGTGAAATACAAATGGCTTAGTACGGTTTTCATTTTCGATAAAGATACATAAAGTGAAATAGATGAAATATATATAGTTTATGCGGTCTTCAACATTGTTTTTAGGGGCTACACAAATGTGACATTAATATATGTTTGTACATTGTTGGCAGACGTGCATGCCATATGAAAATGATTAGAATACAATAGAGAATTTGTCAAAAGTGAACTACAGATGAAGGCACATTAAAATATTTTTTATGGAATAAGACTCACTTCACTTATGCGCATATACACTCCGCGATTGTTCTGCCCGATATCAAAATAAAAGTTTTTATTATCAACTTTCATGTGACGCTCTTCAGGCAAATCTCCTTTATATCTGAAAAGAATAAAAAAAACGTAAAAACGTACAAGAATATGTTAAGCTACTTAAGCGGTTACCCCCCATCACTAGTGCCAAACTCTTCCAAGAGATCAGTAAGTGCATCACGGAACTCGATCATACCTTGAGCTGGTATGGCTATTTGAGAACGAGGTCCACCTCTTGTAATAGTTTGCGAAACCTTTTTGGAGCACGGTCAGTTTGTATGAAAGTTAAGGAAAAATCTCACTACTTACTCTTAAAAATCGACCGCGTGCATTCTCTTTCAGATCCAAATAGTAGCGCCGATTATCTTTAGTCATCATTTCCGATTTAAGCTTTCCATCCTCGGGTAAATTTTCAGGGTTAGGAGGGCCTAAATTGTAGCCCCAGCATTATTAAATAAATTTCAATTCTAAATATAGTTCTTCAACAGACCTAACGAAGCGTAATAGTCACTAAATGTAGACAGATGATCACGAAACTCAGCAGCAGTTGATAAAGCCAAATATACTTGACTTCTTCTACCATCGGCGCCAATCTGTAAAAATTGTTCGTTTTTTTTGAGCATTTTTCATTAGCGATTATTTTATTTCCCTAATACCATCTACATATTCGACGATCAAAAAAAACTTAAATATTCAAATCGAATGACGTGCTTGCACTCCATGTTTGAGATTTTTAAAATATTATTATATAAAGTTCCTTTTGTATGTGATATTTTATACTAGTTAAATTAGGTGTGCATCATCGTATGACGAATTTCCCACAGCGTCCACTTTATTTGCAAAATGAAGACAACTTATTTGGTGAAAAGTATTTACAGAGTTGCAGAAACTTATGTTCAACATTACTTTTTTCGAAACCTTTGATACTTAACTTCTCTTCGAATATTACAGCTTAACTGTCTCGGCTTCGACTTTCTTATAAGCTTTCGAAACATGCAGCGATGGATTTCATCGTTTAGCAATGAATTTTCGCTAACCTCTTTGTTAACTGTGAGTTTCATAAGCCACCCCTATCATAGAACTTTGGCGGGTAAAACATCGAAACTTTTGACATTCTTTTACTGCTTTTCCAAGATATGGGAAAGTTCGTTTTCCACTGAAATATGGCAATTTATCAAATATGTGATTTCGTAACAATATTACTTCATACATAAACATGAAAGAAAGTTATATTCGGTGGAGACGGAATCTCGCATAGCCGCCAGTACTTTTTTCGTATTCTACTCTAATGTTCTTTTATTTGATACCCATATCGCTAATATTATTAAGAAACAAGTAATCGCGGTGTCTACGATATTCATTTTAAAATTAAACCATTTTTAGGCAGATAATACATTTTCATTTATGGAATGTACAAAATAGTTTTAAACATTTAGTCTTGTTTCCCTTATGATAAATAAGAATAATACCTCAAAAAAGTGAAAAAATGCTAAATTTAATCACTAATAATTTTGCGTGGGCATGGCGTATGTTTTGCACGTAAGGAGTAGAGTGCTTCGTAAAGTAAATGTGAAAAATTTCAGTCCTCTAAATATTACAATTATCGAAAAAAACAAAATGAGTATACCCCCATCAGTGGTGGATATAAAAAAATTTATATAAATTTTTATAAAAAAACTGTGGCGGATTAAGACTCATGTAATGATTCATTAAGCTTAAACTTATTACGTACTGACATTTTTGGGATTATATGAAGTTTTTTGTATTATATCACCGAATTAGTAAAAAAGTTGAATATTTTTTGTCATATCTTTGCAACGCATAAAAATAAGTCGAGGAGAGTCGGTGAGGTGTATTTATTATTGATCACTATAAGTAGCGAATTCGGTTTATTCATACTCTACTGTTCTTTTGGATTATGTGCCCGATAACAACATTACAACTTTATCTGGAAGAAAAAACTTTAGTCTTTAAACTTATGTTAAAGTCACAGAATTTTTTAAATCGATTCATGAATACGATCGCAATCAACATGATGTGAATAATGTGTTGATTATTTTCAACAGGATTTTTTTAGAAGTTTTAAAAATTAATTAGAACGGAACATACGTACACATTTAGCTGGTAGATTATGGGATTACCTTTAAAGCACACCCACTCACGTTTTAAAAATATCATATATACCTAGTCTCTCTTGTAGAGCCTGAAACTTTTGTATTGTAAAAAGTTCGAGTTTATTAAAGATTCTAACAAGTGTTTATTTCATCGCTGATTCCATGTATCAGAAATAGACTTAGATTCACACTCATTTCGTACTCGACTTGTGTTCTGTATTGCGTGTTTTCTTTTCGCCTGCGATTTTTTGATTGTTTCGGTATTTTCGTGTATTTTGCTCGTGTCTTTTCAGCGTTTTTACTAAACTGGTTATCGCGAACACCGTGTGTACTTTTGTTTCCTATATATACAATAAGTAAAACCAAAAAAAAAAAAATTGAAGACAGTTGACATTTTTCATTAGTAGTTTCCAAGTTTTGAGTGGTTTTTTCCTAAATTACTAAATAATAGTCAACAAAAAAGCATAATGTCGCCGGAGCCGGCAGATAAAAACTCAAACAGATTCCATCTATTAGCGGACAAATCACCACAGAGAAAACAAAATTTTAAATTCGGACTTTCCGATGTTGCCAATCAGTAACATCACTCATATTGACAAAAAATATGTTATATCTTTAACTGATGTTGGAATAACAATTTCACAAATCATTCCTTTCGCTATAAAAAAACCCCTAGATCGCATAACAACATATTTAGACTCTATCTCGATTCTACGCGATGGTAATTTACTTGTCTTCGTTGGGGATCCGCATAAAGTTCAAATCAATAGCAAATTTATGTCTAATTTCCGCTAAACTACATGACAAACTTAACTCAGTTAGAGGCGTAATTTATGCCCCGTGATTAAACCATGTGCCGGAAGACGAAATAGTTCGCTGGATCGGGTAATCAAAGCATAATTGAAGTTTATAAACTTACTAAGTTTTGCTTCCTTACTAATAACCGGTCCGTCCGCTTAAATGCCTACCCGTAGTCCCTAGTAACTTTCAGTCCAGGTCCTCCGTCCGCGCGAAAAACTGAACACGTCTGGGTAGGGCCCTGGATCATCCGCCTCTGGCCCTAGCGAAAGATAAGAAACCATTAACCGCATAAACGGCATAACTTAAACATTACACAAGTTTGTATGAACACTCAGATGAGTATAAAAATAGGTTTAAATTTGTTTAAAATGCATAAGCACATATGGCAACGCATAAACTGTACACGGGCATGGAAATCTCTAGAAAAATGAATAACGCCGTTAGGCCATACAAAACCTTTAAAATGTATAAGCGCATAAAACTGTAGAAACAATGTATAAGCGCCGTTAGGCCATGCAAACAGATACGTAGGTATAAACACATATGTTTAAAAATGTAGAGAGATGTAGGATGCCAAATATGTATAAACACACACGTATACACATCTATAAACACATCTATAAAATACACTTATTCTACACAAATGGTATGAAACTACATAAACCTAAGCGAAGTATTGTACACATAGGTTAAGAAACATAGCACTCACACACCTAACGGTGAATAAACCACGCGATTTGATACCTGGGTGCATGTTGAGTAGGCATTTGTTCAAACATTGCAATAAGATAAACGTTAGTTGGCATTAAGTTATGTATAAGTATGTCATGCAAGGCTTAACTAAGGTTGCGACAGCAACCAACCTAAAAACTAAGCATGTACATGTTGGTAATGGCACAAGCGAGCGAGACTGCAGCTATAAAAGAGCGGCGCATCACACAGAATTTTTCAATTGTGTCATAGCCGCCTAAGGTAAGTGTAAACGGACAATTTGACAAGGTGATCTACGGATAGGGGATGTACCGGCTAGATGTTAGTCGTCATCCCTGAAATACTCTTTAGGACTACCTACTCTACGGATAGGGAATGTGCTGGCTTAGCTGTTAGTCGCCATCCTTGAAAGACGGAGGAACATTTTTTTTATTGTAATTGCACAAGCCAAGGCAGCTATGACACGACCAATGCATCCGTTGTTTTTTTTTTGGTAGTAAACCGCGATCTCCAATGACGTGTGCTTTAAACCGTTCATAGACGCCTCAAGTGAGCCATAACCGCCTAAGTAATCCGCGATAGTACGAGAAAAGTAAAAAAACCCGCTAACCCCGTGAGCATCGAACCGGTCGTAAACGCTCCAATTGAGCTATAACCGCCTAGGTAATCCGCGATAGTACAAGAAAAGGGGAAAAAAACCCTCTAGCCACGTGTGCGCCAGATCGCTCGTCGGGTCACCTCGCTGGTTCCGTTCCTACTCTCTACAAAACCACTTGTAATCTCGCATACCAATAAAAGAATATATAAGAACATCCCCGGAGGTCCAGAACATTTCGTTTCATATAAATTGTCTTGCAACGAACCTTGGAGTGGCTGAGAAGATTCGTTACATAAGTTAAATGACGACGGAAAAACTCGCTTTCCTGCAGGAGGGATAATTGTGACGTTTGATCGTTGTCGGTTACCGCATACAGTTGTTATGGCTTGGTATAAATAAATATAAGGTGAAACTCTACACTCCAAATCTCATGAGATGCAAAAACTGCCAACGCCTAGGCCATACAGCAAAAACGTGCAACAATGCTCCATCTTGTGTTCCTCCCATAGATGTCACTCAATCTTCTCAGGCGTCATCGCCCAAAACTAATAAGGGTAATAATAAATCGTCCGCTCCTCCTCGCTGTTCGAGTGTAAATGCTGGTCGCCAAACTGAGCAGGTCGCACAAGCTGCTCGTGCAAGTGTGGTTACTCCCTCTATATTTTCCCCAACTCATAACTCCCCATCCATTAGCCCTGCTGCTCCCAGTACTGATGACATATGCTTGAAGGCAGTTCCTCCCAGAAAGGCAATATTTGTGTCAAGACTGGCACCAGATACATCTGTTGAAAACATAAAGGGTTATCTGGCAGCGAAAGCCCCTTCTGTTAATTTAAAGCGAGTTAGTATTTTCAAACTGGGTCCTTCTCAATCTAGAGCTATCTCATCTTTTAAAATTCTAGTTCCGACCGAAAATATGGAGTTGATTTTAAATAAACCTTTGTGGCCGGTTGGATCCTTAATTGAGGAATTTATCCCTCGGGACCGACCCCGTAATGCGAAGGCAGTAGCTCTTTCCCTTTCAAAAAACTGAATATTTCTTCAGCCTCATTTTCTCTCATTTATCAAAATGTTAGGGGCCTAAATTCAAAAATTCGTTCTACCTTCCTAAATTCAGTGAGCACGGAGTTGTCCTGTCTGGTCTTCACTGATACATGGTTGAAGCCGGATCTACATTCGTCTGAACTTTTCCATAATTCGTTTCAAGTTTTCAGAAACGATCGTTTGTATCGCAATGGTGGTGGTGTTTTAATTGCTATTTCTACGGCACTCCCCACCTATTCGTTGGAATTTCCAACTACTCCCGATGTTGAATTTATCGCCATTCGAGTGAAATTTCCTAAGAAACACTTATATGTGACCTGCTCCT